TCTCTCTCTCTCTCTCTCTCTCTCTCTCTCTCTCTCTCTCTCTCTCTTTCTCTAACTTAGCAATTTATTTTCTGTAATTTATTTCTTGTAATGACATGAGGTCGGATCTGAATTACAAATACATGGATCCAAATAAATTTTATTCTATTATTAAATTATTATTAAATTCTATTTATAAGATCCGGCTAGTTCGAATATCCGAACATGAGTAATGAAATAATTCGAATTTAACTGTTGAGATATCCGAATATTAACAAATGCCGATCATATTTGCAACCCTATTATAAACGAATGAAAACGAAATTGAAATTTAGTGAGGCGGGAGGTATAAATAGTCAATAAACTTTAAATATACATATACATATATATATATATATATATATATATATATATTCGTCCATATTTCCACAAATATCCATTAGCGCGGATCGAAACGTAAATTCTTGTAGAATGAGAAAGGAACCCTAGTCCACGTGCAACTCATCTCACCGATGTGAAGGAATTCATTCGAGAAATGTGGCTAGATGAAAATTCTTAATCTCCCCGTTCTCCTACATCTCTCCTATCTCATACCAAAGTCGTTAATATATGATGAAATTGGCGACATTAATGTCGGTAGATTTTTTCATTTAAATAGCGAAATGTAAATTGACGAAACGAATTTAAAACTAAGTAAAATAAATAGAAGGTAAATCAATTTAACAAATATATCGGAATTTATTCACTTTACGTAGAGTGCAGACAAAGAAAAATTTCATACTGTGATATTTCGAGGTTACTTGAACTATTTCTAATAATATTTTACCTAAATCATTTGTTAAATTATTTCAAATTTTTCAGTAGGTACCCCAATTAAATTTCCTTTATAACTTTGAACATTTCTTAACGTTCTCAACTGTTTGAAAAGAAATATTTAATCATTTAATAATTTCAAATTGAGAGCAAATACATAGCTCCCGCCATTAATTTTGATTTTATTAACGTGTCAAGTATACGATCAAACGGTGAAAAGTTTCAAAAGAAAAAGGTTTATTATATAAAATATGAAATCATTTGATAAATAAACGAATTTCCGCCTTACACCATCATAAAGTTTTGTTCCGATAAATGTGATTTTTTTATCGAGTTTGAAGATTCGCTGAGACGACGGTAAGAGTTCTTCCTTCGATCAAATTATCGAAGTGTGGGCGACCAAAACAAAGTCTGCTGTTTTTATAAATGTATCAGCGTAGAAAAAAGAAGAAGCTCTAAAACCAATCCGATGACCGCGTCTAAAACTCGGAATGAGGTATATATATATATATACATATATATATATTTTAGCGATATGTTCGGCTATAAAAATCTAAAATCCGTAAATTACTTTTTGCCGTAAGTCGTTTACAATCGCAGCAAATATCCCCGTTAAAGTCATATTGCCGAACGCAGGTGAACCG